ATGGCTCGGCCACTGTCCAATCTCCTTAAGAAGGATGCACCTTGGTGCTGGGACGTCCTTCATGACGACGCCTTCAAGGCTGTTAAGGAGAGCCTCCTTCATGCACCCATCTTGGCGCTTCCGGACCCGTATCGTCCGTTTAGCGTCGTCTGCGACGCCTCCGATTTTGCAATCGGGTGTGCTTTACTACAAGCAGACGCCGAAGGGCGTGAACGCGTTATCGCGTTTGAGTCTCGGCAGCTCAAGGCTGCTGAGAAGAACTATCCAGTTCATGACAAAGAGCTACTTGCTATGAAGTATGCTCTAGTCAAATTTAGAGTACATTTACTCGGCTCTAAGCCCTTTGTGATCTACACAGATCATGCGTCCTTACGCACTGCGACTCAGTCGCCTCACCTCTCACAGAGAATGGCAAGATGGCTTTCATTCTTTGCCGAATATAACTTCGAGGTGAAGTATAAGCCGGGCCGGCTTAACGTAGTGGCCGATGCGCTATCGCGCAGGCCAGACTACGAGTTGACTCACGTCACAACGGTGACGTCGTCGGTCCCTGACCTTATTCGCAGGGCGTATGCCCAAGACGCCACCTGTGTAGCCCTGCTACGTGCTCTCGGGAGTGATGAGTTTAAAGACTCGGACAAGGATTTGTCACAGCGCTTACGCGCGAGGCTGCAGCGTTATACGCTTGATAATGGCCTGCTGTATTACAGCACCGACCCTGAGGACACTCCTCGAGTGGTTGTTCCTCATGATGAGGATCTTAAGTATCGCATCCTCTATGAGGTGCATGATACGCCTGTCGGTGGACATCTTGGTCGTGAGAAGACCTATGGCTCGGTGAGCAAGATGTACTGGTGGCCCAAGATGTACAAGTGGGCAAGCACCTATGTGCGTACATGCGAGACATGTCAACGGACCAAGTCCGCGCCGCATGCGGCTGCACCGTTGGCGAGTTTGCCAGTCCCTTCGGGATGTTGGCAGTCCATGAGCATGGATTTTGTGTTTGGCCTTCCCAAGGATAAGGCAGGCAACACAGGCGTTGTGGTCTTTGTGGACCGACTGAGCAAGATGGCTCATCTCTCGGCTGTGCCGGACACCGTCGACGGTGAGGCTACAGCTAAGCTGTTCTTAGACAGAGTCTTTCGCCAACATGGCTTGCCTGAGGCAATTGTCTCTGACCGAGACCCCCGCTTTACGGCAAAGTTCTGGACGTCCTTGTTCAGGGTGCTTGGCACCAAGTTGGACATGTCCACGGCGGACCATCCACAGACCGATGGTCAAACTGAACGCGTGAATCGCGTTGTGGAGGATATCCTCCGCAGTGTCTGCGCTGAAGCGCCTCGACGCTGGAGCGAGATGCTCCCCCTTGTTGAGTTCGCTATGAACAATGCGGTGCATGCCTCGACAGGCTTCACCCCGTTCTATGTGAACGGCTTGGTTGACCCTCGTGTCCCTCTATCGCCGCCACGGTGTGGCTCTGGGCTTGATGGGGGAGGGTTAGCCGATCGGCTTGCTGATGTCAGCCCAGTTGCGATTCGCAAGCAAGTCGATGACTTTGTCTCTTTGAGACTGAGCGTCATGCGCCGAGTGCGCGATGCAATGGCTGAAAGCCAGGATCTCCAAAAGGAGTATGCAGATGCCAAAGGCAGAAAGAACATGGAACAGTTTGAGATCGGAGATCTTGTTTTATTAAACGCTAAAAACCTTCCTACACATGCAGTGTCTGCGGTCTTCAAGACCAAGTTGAGACCTAGGTTCATCGGGCCGTTCAAGGTCGTGGCCAAGAAGGGCCTAGCGTACACGCTCAATCTTCCAAAGAAGATGCGTACGCACCCGGTGTTTTATGTTGGCTTGCTCAAGCCATACCGGGACCCTGCTCG